AAAAATTATGTCTTGATATGAAATCCAAGATTCAAAATCAAATATCAAGAAGAATTATGTTTCAATTTCTCAATCAGCCCCCTTAGGGGCTTCCAAAAATTGCCATAGCGCACGGTATTTCACGTACACGTAGCGGGGTATTGGTTAAAGTTTTCAACTAGCAATAATCGCACCTCGGATAAACCTCATTGGTTACGATACTGCCACTGCGCAAAGCTGACGAGAATAGAGCATATTCTGGTATTTATTATCTCTCTCGAAGTTACTGTCAGTGAAATGCTAGGCATGCCATCTCTGAAGATGGGAATGCAACTAACTCTTGTTATATTAATAGGATTCGAGGGTAGATACAGGGCCTACTCTATCTCACCCTACGAAAGCGTAGAAAGGGCACTGTTGTGTGTATTTTATTCATCTCTTTATTCGAACTTTTCTCTTTGAATTCTGATTTGTTCCTCTGAATTCATTCTTTTTTCTCTGAATTCATCCTTTTTTCTCTGAATTCTACTAAAGCGTAGAAAGGCCACTGTTGTGTGTATTTTATTTTATTTCTTTATTCAAACTTTAAAGTCTGAATCCAGACTTTTTTTTCTGAATTCAGACTTTTTTCTCGAATTCAGACTCTAAAGCCTGAATTCAGACTTTTTTGTCTGAATTTAGACTCATACTACACACCATATCGGGTGTAACAGGATGGTACACCAAACCATTTTGATGAACTTAAATTGGTGATAAATCAAGAAATTTCACATTCTTGACAGGATTCAATTTTTTTAGCATTACACCTGACGATATTAGTATAGATCAGACTCGATCAGAATAGTCATGGCACACTCAAATGGAAAATCAAAAATGAAATTAAAATCAATATTGAAGTTTGAAATGTCACTTATGCAATGATACACAGGGTGTTCCATTTGAAATTCGAAAGTTATTACCACTTCCGGTGGGACACCCTGTATAATCGAAATTATTTTCCTGGTATGCGGCCTATGATACAATTGAAGTCTGCAAAATATCAAAATCCTAACTCAACTGATAACTGAGCTATAGAAGACGGGAGGTGAGATGCTTTTTATATAGGGTATAAATATATTTGAATAAGCATCACATCATTCATTATAGACGTTTTGACGTACTGACCTGCAAATAATAATAAAATTAATCAACCCCATGAGAACTAAACGACATATAAAAGGTACTAACTAAAATCAGTGTATTACCCTCGGTATTACCTAATATTCAATGCATTCAATGCAAACAGTCTGAATTCAGAGAAAAAAGTCTGAATTCAGAGAAAAAAGTCTGAATTCAGAGAAAAAAGTTTGAATTCAGACAAAAGAGTCTGAATTCAGACTTCAAAGTCTGAATTCAGAGAAAAAAGTCTGAATTCAGAAAAAAAAGTCTGAATTCAGAGAAGGACGTCTGAATTTAGAGAAGAAGTCTGAATTCAGAGAAAAAGTCTGAATTTAGAGAAAAAAGTCTGAATTCAGAAAAAAATGTCTGAATAAAGAAATGAAATAAAATACACACAACAGTGGCCTTTGTACGCTTTCGTAGAATTCAATTTGTATACGCTCTTTCTGAATTCATACTTTTTCTCTGAATTCAGACTTTTTTCTCTGAATTCATACTTTTTTCTGAATTCAGACTTTTTTCTTTGAATTCAAACTTTTCTCTCTGAATTCAAACTTTATTCTCTGAATAATAATAATAAACGTTTATTCATTTAGTTCATTCCTACTCATTCATTGGTATTACATTATGAAAAAATGATTATATGGTTTACAAATACATTGTTATATATAATACAATAAAAACATACAGAACTGGAAATAGAATAAACAAGAGTTGTTCCCAAAGGAGGGTTGATATTTTACATTTCACCAGTTAATACCGATATATCCCAAGAGGTTCGTAAGGAGAGAGATTAGATACAGTTGATCAGTTCAGAAAAGTATAACTTGTGTTGAACCGACAACTCCGCCAATCATTTCTGTTGTGTTTGTATCCCACGGACGTAAGTAAATGGTGATGAAGAAAAAGGAAAAAAAAATACTACTAGTACACTCTTAAATAACTACTTGTACACACTTCTTAACTAACGCATAACTATTACTATAAGTTAAATTAAAACAAAATAAGGCAGGATTCAACCTTAGATAATGAAAATACTTCGACCTGCTCAGTGATAATATTTTTTTTTTCTGTGACGGGAAAAAAGTTTGGCATTTCATCTCTGTTGGCAGGTTATAAAATGTCACTTTTCATAAATTACTTTTTTCCCGTGGGAAAAAAGTGAGTACTTCTTTCCCGGATATATATCACATATATATACTCTGTTAATGACTTTTGTTGTGCTATAGTTCCGAAAAATAAGTCAATAATACCGTCTCCGAGAAAGAACTGCAAGTCCTTTTATCTTCCATTCGACTTCGCGGTTTCGTATATTACTAAACAACTACTGAATTCGCAATTTTTCAAAATCAAATCACAGAATTGAACTGACAAAAGTGACATCAGATATTTGATTACTTCAAAAGAATGATGAAGATGTCTATAAAACGCAGGTGTCCTTACTGTTAAAAACTTGAAATTTCACGTCGATAATTTTCAGATTTCGAAATAATGTAATATCTTCCCAATATTGATTCGTTCTTCCTTCTGTCACAGAAAAAAATAGTGTATTATACACGGGAAAAATATTAGATTTTAGCTCACGGTTTTTTGTCTCCCTCCGCTACGCGTCGGGAGACAACACAACCTGGAGCTAAAATCTACTACTTTTTTCCCTTGTATAATAAATAACTATAAATCGATCGATGCATGTGCTAAAGTTCGCGATCTTGAAGGAAGAAAAATTTTCAATTTCTTTTCGAAAAGATGTATAGAATTCAGTTCATTCAGTTCAGTTGGTATACCGTTGTGTATTTTTGGTCAAATGAAGCCTTCTACGACTTTTTTTTGTTTTTTTTTATTCGGGAGTGCTCGCAAAAGGTTGGACCTATAATCCCGTGGTGGAACTGCGAGCACTAAGGAGGGACAAAAAATATCGATGGATCCTCCTCTTGAAGGTAAATAGATTGTAGTTCGCTGGAAATACATCTGTGGGTAAGGAACTCCACACTGAAGATGTCCTACAAAAAAAGGAGTTCTTGAAATATGTTTTTCTAGGTGTTTCACTTTTGAGTGCATATTGGTTTGAGACTTGAGCCAGCCGCGTTTGGCGAACAAAGGTCATTCCAGGGGGGACAGCTGATGACAATTCAACAGAGCATCGTTCATGATAGATAAGTGGTAGGTCTGCAACGTCTCTCCGATATTGTAAAGTTTGCAGTGATCTTGTCAAAGTTGGGTCATTGATGAGCCTGATGGCTCTTCTTTGAACCGACTCCAGCAACCTCAGGGAGTGTTTTGGAGCTGATCCCCTGATGTGCGAACAGTACTCAAGGGATGGCCGAACCTGGGCTTTGTAGAGTGTCAGAAACTGTTGTGAGGTGAAATACTTCTTCGCGCGGAAGAGGAATCCCAGCCCTTGAGAGGCAACATGGTAATGCCAAGATAAACTGTCAGATGCTCGAAGTGCATCACACATGTTACGAAACACCCTGTATAATATACGCTTGATGAAAATTTCGTTTTAATTCGACGAACCCCGCGCGGAATTCTGTTGTTTACTGCTTTGATAAATATTTGCTAATGCACTTTAAATTTCCAGCAGTAATACAAATGAAGTATTTGCTAACAGGAATTCATTAAACCATCAGAATTAAACCAGAGCCTGTAAACTTTGCCAGAGCGAACATTGAAGAGATAAGATTTTCAGAAGATTTTGATTTATTTAGTTCATTGCTACATAACTCCACCTGCACGAAGAAAAGGATTTGTTGCATCAGCAAATTATTTGTGCTCGTATTATTTTCGTTGGACATTTCAGAGAATCAGGTTGTTCGAATCGAGAAAGTAGTTCAATTGAATCAAGATCAATTCCATCAACAAAATATAGGGTGTCTGTAAAAGGTCCTGGGATAAAAACAAGTTGATTTAGACTTACCTATATCCAAAATCGTCTTGTTGAGTTGGTACAAGGCGTTGAAGTTTTTTTGGAAAAAAAAATTTCGCTCATAGAAAGAGTAGGCTGGGATCGATTTCCATAATTTTTGGCATGGCATGTTCTGTGACTGTAAGTCACGTTTTGAGATGTTTTTGAACATCATCAGTGACCTGCAAGTGTTTCAAACAACCATGTTGCCGTACAAATTTGGTGATGACTTTTCAGAGGTCCGACTGGAAACCTCCAGTTTTTTTTTCCAGAAAGATATTCCCTCCAGAAATATTTTTTGTATCGTGTTAAGTGGAAGTGGTACTTTGAAAACTGCGAAACCTCAGGGGCAACGGTTGAGGCAGAGGTATAAAATTCACTACTGGTGGGTGGAGCTTAAACACTACGCCGATAACGCAAAAACCATTACTCGTTTGTAAATCCGTTCCTAGACCGATTTACGAGGGGGAGTCTAAAAATTCAGTACGACGCGGCGACTGCGGCGTGCTGACTTGTCGACTTGGCGTACGCGAAGAACGCTCCAAACGTTGGGTTGTCGACTAGAAGTGCTAGTCGTTATAAACTTGTATAAAAAATGTCATCTGGGTGATGGATGCATTCATTTAAATCCAGCAAGGTGAATTCATTTCGGATTGCAGATTTCGAGAAAAATCATTCCGATTTTTCAAGTTGATGCAAAGTTTTTTAATATTTTCATGAGCTTTGAGCTTGGTTGTCAGTATATTCCGATGTATTTTCCAATGAATTTCACACGAGTGGGAAACTGTTGTTTTTGTATTCTGTCGATACTAATTTCACCTGGAATTATATTTTGTACAAATCATTCATTGAATTCCTTTCAAATTGTTATTTGCATATTGATTGATTTGAAGTTGATAGTAAACCGGAAAAAAAATATTGAAATAAGATATAGAATAACTGTAATTCAATAACATTCAAGCGAAGGTCATGTCGCTGTGAAACCACGTAGGTGAGCTCCCGCAATATTTTGAAGTTTTAAGGAGTACTTTCAAGGATATTGATCAAATACTGTTTTGTGAAAGTCGTATGAGTTGACTAGAAATATAAGTTGGACTGCAGTGCATTTTCAAAGTGTTTTTCTGCTGATATAGTGCATCTTGGAATATTATTGTCCACCTGCGAAGTAAGCACCGTTGCCATATTTTCAATAAAAATGGCAACTAGAAATCGAACAGGTAGTGGGACTGGACAACTTGGACAAATTGATGAAAATATGATCGATATGATATTAACTAGGTTAGCACCGAAAATAACTGACAAAATAGAAAACCAGTTGGAAAAATTAAATAAACACTTCGAAAAAATGGAATGTAAAATAAACAATGTGGTAGAAAAATTATGCTATATTGAGAAAATGTCGGAAGCGAACAAAGAAGAAATAAAATCGTTGAATAGTAGAATCGAAGCATTGGAACAAAAAGTGAAATCAAAAACCTTGAGGATGGTAGGAATCGAAGAAGAAGCCAACGAAAATCTGTTATCTAAGGTATGCAACCTATTTAATAACGTGCTGAAAGTTACATGCACTCAGCAAGATATAAGCAATTTGTACCGCACCAAAAAGATTGAAAATCAAACCAAACCCCGAGCAGTGCTGGTTACTTTTACATCAAATATAAAAAGAAATGAGGTTTATGCAGCCAAGAAACATCTGAAAGGAACAAATATGTTCATCAATGAAGACTTGACGACGAAACAATACAAATTGCTGGGAATGGCGAAGAAAAAATACGGCAATAAAAATGTATGGTCCCTCAATGGAAGAATTTTCGCTAGAATTGGCACTAATGTAAAATTGGTAGAACGTGAAATAGCCACATCGGAAGGTGAAGACTGAGAAGAAAGTAGCAAAAAATAAGATAAGATATTGAATTGTTTCAGGTTTGGTTTTTATGTAGGTCTCTAATGGCTAGTCTACACTATATGTTTTTCGATAATTATAGAAATTTTTGAAATTTTATAGTGATTCATATTCATTTTTATATTTATTTTGATAGGTATTCCTTATTTTTTGTTTTCTATGTTCTAGGCTAGGAGCTCTTCAATGTTACTGACATCTCTTCCAACTTGAATGTATACTACCAGAATTGTAGAGGTTTGAATACGAAGTGCAATGAATTTTATAGAAGGTCCTTGGTTGACAATTTTGACATTATAATAGCTGTTGAAACGTGGTTACAAGAGGGAGTACATGATGCCGAAATTATAGATATCAACCATTTTAATTTACTGAGGTCTGATAGGAATTTGCAGTTCACAAACAAAAGCACTGGGGGTGGAGTTATGGTGGCGATCAAGAAAAGGTTTAAATTGCTGAGTGTACTTAGTTACAGTAAATATTTCGAAGCATTATCTATCAACTTTAAAGTGAGTAAGCAAAAATATACGTTATGTGCGATCTATATACCTCCGAATAGTTCTACTGAAGTATATGAGACAGCATTCAGTTTCATACAAGAACAAAAAATAACAAACTCTGAAAATACGTACGTTTTTGGTGATTTCAATATCCAGGATGTAACGCGGAATTATTTTACGAAAAATAGCGAGAAACATAATGTATTAAATGACTTCCTGGAATTTAATGATTTTAGCATATATAATAATGAAATAACAAATCTACAAGGAAGAATCCTAGATTTAGTTTTGAGCTCAGAACAAAATGAGAAGTATTGTAAGGTAAAACGGGATATGTTGCCATTTGTGAAGGAGGACACTTACCATCCTACTCTCAATATAACCATCGAAATTTCAAAAGTAAATGATAAAATTAGTAATGAAACCGTAGAAATGAGATACAATTACAAAAAAGCCGATTTCTTGGGTTTGAGTACTCATATTCGCGACGCTGACTGGACAGCAGTGATTGTTGAGCAAAACGTGAACGAGGCTTTAGAAAAGTTTTACTCGATATGGGATAGTGTGATAGCGCAGTGTGTCCCACAGTACAGGGTGGTCAAAGGTAGGAAGGAAAAATATCCAGTATGGTTCACTGTTGAAATCAAAACTTTACTGCAGGAAAAAAAGCGCTATAATAAATTGAAATCGGTATCGGGTTACTATCTTAATGAATATAATAAGTCAAGAAAGAAATTGAAAGAATTGATAGCAAGAGAGGAATCGAAATTTTTGAATAATTTGGAGAAAAATATAAACAGTGATATAAATTGCTTCTGGACATATGTGAAAAACAAATATAAAAACAGTTCTCTGGATAACTTTCATTATGAAGGGATTGAGGTTAATGATGAGGAAATACCAGAAACGTTTGCTAAATATTTTTCCTCGGTTTACTGCCCAGAACAAGCTACATATAATTTACAATTTGAAGATTCAGCTTCACTGTGTAATGATACTCTCATAATTGATTCAATAAGTGAATCGGATTTTAATGAAGGAATAAAAAAACTTAAACCAAAAAAATCTACTGGAACAGATGGTATCCCACCATATATTCTGAAGGGATGTGGCGAATGGTTAAGGGTTCCCCTACTACACATTTTCAATCTAATTATAAAATTTAAAGAATTTCCCACACTTTGGAAAACATCAATATGCACACCAATACATAAATCTAAAGCCAAGATGGACATAGAGAACTACAGGCCCATCTCAATTATGTGTTCCCCGGCAAAAGTGTTTGAACAAATTTTACATGGCAAACTGTATCAACATGTTAAAAAGTACATCGTACCACAGCAATATGGTTTTATGACCAACAAATCAATCAATACAAATCTTTTCTTATATAGTAATCATGTATACGAGACCCTCGAAAGAAAATTACAATTAGACACTATTTTCACAGATTTTCGAAAGGCATTCGATCAAGTGAACCACGATGTATTGTTGAGTAAATTGAATAAATACGGACTAGCACCGAATATTCTGGAATTAATGAAAAGTTATTTAGAAAATAGATTTTTCTTCGTCAAACATAATGGTAATACGTCCGGCAAGTTTAGGGCCAATTCAGGAGTACCGCAGGGATCTAATCTGGGACCGTTGCTTTTTACACTATTTATTAACGACCTGCCGGCCGTCCTGGTAAATACAGATTGCCTTCTTTTTGCAGACGACCTAAAAATGTTCAAAAAGGTACAGACTGTAAGGGATTGTGTTGCTCTGCAAAAAGACGTGGACAATATTCATAAATGGAGTAATGAAAATAAACTATATTTCAACATAAATAAATGTGCCGTGCTGACTATAACTCGGTTGAAGGATCCAGTCGTATTTAGGTATGAAATGAACGGGGAACCTCTTGAACGAAAGACAGAGACACGTGATCTTGGTGTAACTTACAATGATGTTTTTTCTTTCACTAGCCATCTGGATAATATTGTTAAATCTGCGAATCGTATTTTGGGATTTATTGTGAGACAGACTTCCAGATTTACGAATATACATACCATTAAAATGTTATATTATACTTTAGTCAGGCCAAAACTAGAATTTGCTTCAATAATTTGGATGAGTGAAACTCAAAACGCATTAAAAAGAATTGAGAAGGTGCACAATAAGTTACTTAGATACTTGTATTTCAAGGAATACCATGTATGGCCTGACTATTTGACAGTCAGAACTACTGAACTCAGATCTCATTTCAAAATAATATCTCTGGATCAGAGACGAAACCTTACAAGTATATTGTTTTTGTATAAAATCATCAATAATAAGATAGATTGTCCCGAAATTTTAACGCTAATTCCATTCAGAGTACCTTTCTGTCGTATTCGTTCCTCCCCTATGTTTCATATCTCCGCTAAGCAGTCAAGTAAATCCCCTCTTGTAGCCATGCTTCGACTAGCCAATCAATTCAATGTTCTGAATGTATTAGATTGGTCAAAAGCTCCAACTGCTTTCAGAAATGAAATTTTAAATTCCATATTGAACATTTCCATTTAATCCTCTACTTTTCTGGTAAACCATATAAACCATATAAACCATATATACCTATTTATCGACATAATTTTAGTATGGTCAACTATGATATTTTTTTTTTTTGAATCAGTGACATCAAGTATGTAATTTCATTGGGTTATCCATGTAATTAGGCCAGTAGGCCTGTTTGGATGAATAAATAAATAAATAAATAAATAAAATATTATAGTTGAGACGCTTCCTCGCACCAGTACTCAATTTTTTTTAATATTGAATAACAGGATATTTTCCAAGTTAAATTCATTTTTTATTTTTTATTCTGTCTCGCACTTCCATGCCTCTATCTGTCCTACTATCTATAATTTCTGGAAGAACGTATTCAATATAAAACTGTTTTATTTTGCTTTCCATTTTATCACTCCAGAAGTCGTCATTTCGAGGGATTTTCTCAACTTTCATTCCCTTGGGGGTCCAAACACACAAAAAACAGAAATCCGTTTTGGTGATTTTCAGTTGACCCTGGATTTGAAAGAACCAATTATGGCATTCATTGATGGTCCTGTCTTTTTTCCAGAATGTTATTTTCCTTTCCATTATTCCTTCATCCACAGTCATATTTCTGGCTCCATATGGACATTTTATTTCTACAATGGAGTTTTCTCCTTCCAAAATTCCGTCAGGACTGGCAGCCATGTAACTGAATTCATCATCAATGAATAGTCCACATTTTGATATGCTTCTTTGCAAATAGTCTTCCAGGTCTTCTCGTGCTTTTGCTTCATTTTCTATGCCATATTGAGTGGCTTTAGCAAAAAATGGTTTGGGATGAACAATGGACTTGACCATATTTTTCACTGAAGAACTTTCCCGCTTTTTACAAATCTCTCCAAATTTTGAGGCAGTAACACGTTTTCGCCTTTCACTATGCCATAGAGCAGAATCAGCCTGATCTCGTGTCAGTACCTCAATATTTTTGGCTTCTTCAACAGTTACTGATAAAGTTTTTAAAAAATCTTTTGCTGCTATGCCAAAAGAAGTGTCATCCATATCGGGTTTCATACAATGCTCGCCGTAAAAAAGGTCATTCCTTCTATGTTCCCTTTGTTTCTTATGTTTGATTTTTCTTTTGGAAATAGCAGCTTGCATCAATTTTTTTTGTTTTGCCAACTCATATTTCAAAACGAATGTATCGTTTAACTTTCCATATTTCGATTTGAGATTGCTCAGTTCTTTTTTTGAATTCAGGGCAACCACAGACGCATAACAACGAGTTTGGTAAGATCTCTTCATAACATAATTAATTCTTTTTCCCCCAGAGTGTCTAGCAATCACATTGTTAAACTGTTCTGCACAATTGTTGTCTACATCGAAAATCAAGCTCTTTGAGTGATTTGCGAGGTATCTGACAAACTCCATTAGTTTGTCATATAGAGCTGAAAATACAGATAATAGAATTACTTGATATATATATATATATACAATCCAAAAGGATTGCAGAAAAGTTGGGATGTATAATATTTCATTCATTTCACATAGGGTTAATCAAAAAATGAATGAATTAAAAAAACATATTTTTTCACTAATTATTTCGATTGGCATAATTGGATAGAAGAAAAGCGACTGACCAGTCGACTTTTTTTTCTACAAAAAAATGTTTCCAGAAAATTATGTCGAACATATTATTGGAAGTATTGAATAACTTACGAGTCAATTTCATATCGGCCACAGTTGTTGTGTCTATAGTTTCTTTTCGACAGAAGTATTTCGAACATTTTGTATGATCTCCCAAAATGTGTTTCGGGCTGTTTAATATGTCTTTTCTCAAGTTTTCAACTTTCTCAATTGAAGGAACCATTTCATTTTTTCTATACTTGATGGCTTCAGTAATTGCATACCTGAATCGCATCAGATTTTTCTATAATAAAAAGGGTATAGTTATAAAAAAAATGACCATGTATGGAGTTCTGATAACGGATGGAAAGAATTTTTTCAAGAAATTACTCTGGATCGTTTTATGTTTCTCCGGATTTCTCTTTTCGATACATTTCCACCCGACCTTGGATTCAATGGGAATAATTTATTGATCACAAAAATACCGATTTCAGGAAAATAATCCTGCTATTAATAACAAATAGCATTTTAGTTTGACAACATATTAGTTCTCACCTTAATTTCTTTCCTCAGTATTATAGGCCCCGCATTTTTTGTTTGAACTAGTTCTCTTATTTTCCTCATATAATTTCTTAATAAGTGATTCCGGCATTCTACTTTCATGACCGTAATATTATAGGATTTGTACGGATCTTTTTGCAGTATTGATTCATAACAACTGCTATCTCCATCGGCAACCATTCTATTGTAAATTATTCCATACATCGGAATACTTTTTTGAAATCCCTCAGCTATGATATTCGCTTCCATTGAACTTGATGAACCTTGCCAATTTTTGTAGCATTTGTGTTGAGGGGTATTCTGTGGATTTTTCTTGCATGTTAAGCAAAACTTATTTTTGACAGCTAAATATAGGACTTTTCTCGTTTTGAAACCTACGATTGCTGCAGCCCCACTCAATGAATTATAATTTGATCTATAAGACCTTTTAGCCCAAACGCCGTCACACACGACGGTTATTAAAGCTGTACCATCTGTAGTAACATCTCCACATTGAATTGCTAAGCGTTTTTCTTCTTCAGCTGCCTTAGCCATTTCCTCCATCGCAGTTTCTTCCCAAAAATCAGCTAAACTTTCTTGGATTCTAGAAAATGTTTTGGAAGAGATCGTTGGTATATTCATCGTTGAATGAAATTCATTGAGATGGGTATACCCAGACCCCACGTTCGTTATTCCAAGCACAGCACTTTTGTTAAGGTCTTCAAAATCAGAAACGGTCGTTACAGTCTCTATGGACATACACATATTACATCTGAATGTAATTTTAGAGGCTAGTCCTCTTCTCACTTCTTTTATTATCTCAAGATTTTTGAGAGTGCACCCGAATTGGGGAGCATGATCACCTATCATAATGAGGGAGTCGATTAAATATTGAATATCTACTATTCTACGTCCTTCGAGTTCGATTTTTTTATAGTTATCTTTCTCTTTTCTATTCGACGTTTCCATCGATGATTTATCGATGATCAAGAGTTTGCTCTCGTCCTGATTTATATGAGCTTGATCATCAGTTACTTCCGTGTTCATA